TCCTTAACTTCTTTTTATTTATCTATTTATTTAATAGGGTTTTGCCATAAGGCATGTATGCTCTCCAGAGAGGGACAGAAGGAAACAGAGAGAAAAAAGTAAGAAATCACCCCCTCCCTGGGAGATGGCCCTGTTGCAATCCCTTCTCCTCCATTCTCCTCTTGGAATTTTGGACACCCATATGCAGGTATCCAGCATGATTTTCAAGCTGCCAGGTCCAGAGCTCAAACCACAGTTGGCCATGTGGAAGCCCAGCAACTTAACCACCATGCCACTTGCTGCACCCCCACCCTACAGCCCCTTAACTCTTTTTAACATCAACTTCTTCAGCTACAAAGTATGAATAATTATACCTTCCTTACAAGATTAGGGCAAAGATTACAAATGAGGTATCAAGTGTGCCTGGCAAATAATAAGTGCTCTTTTCACTTAAGGTGGGCTTATCTATCTTGGCTGTTTTCACTGTACTCCAAGGAGGGCTTATCCATCACTGACCCCAACAAGACTTTCCCTCTTCTGCTCATGCCTTTGTCAGCGCAGTTGCCCTGCCTGCCCTGTCTTAGCATCTCCAACTCTGAAAGTTTCCATGAATCTTTCTAGTCTCTGTCCCATCTTAGAGTTTTTGTGACACTTTCTCTAAGAACAATGACTTCTACCCCTGAACTTATAAAGTGTTTATCTTCCATGGGGATGGGAGAGGTGGGAGCCCAGAGGATCCCAAGATCCTTTGTCTGAGGCCACAGTTAGTCTTAGTAGAAACCAATATGTCAGACAGAAACACAGAGAGGGAACTTCAGTCCCCGAGGCCAGAGGATCCCCTGAACTGCCTGAATTATGATGTCATCTGGGAGATGTTGCTTGTCCTCCTGACATTTGAGTCCCTGATGCTTTATTCAGGAGTATCTTTTGGGAACAGCAGTTAGCGTAATGGCTATGTCAATGGACTCCCATGTAGTTGACTGCGGTTCAAGTTTCAGACCCAGTGGCTTAAACTCATGCCAGTCATGTGTGCCTGTGTGCCCAAGATCCCGAGAGAATGGAGGAGAAGAGATTGCGGCATGTCCATCCCCCCCAGGGGTGATTTCTCACTTTCTGTCACTCTGTCTCTCTCTGTTCTGGTAAGCACATGCGCCCTATAGCAAAAAGGGACTATCTTTTAACAGGAAATGGCCAATTGGTTCATTGATAAATTCAGGCACACTGGGGATCCTAGCACATGGACAGGCTGGAGGGCCACCAGACATACCAGCTGACATCTGCACTAGCAGCCACTATGTCGTCTCCATGGGCCTGACTCCAGCTGTTTCTACACCCATCCGGTGCCAGATTGAGTCATTCCTCTCTGTCATCTTTGGCTCTGAGCAGTGTCACTTGGGGTTCTGGCTAATTCCTTTGCACATCCTGCATGCCCTTCTTCATCTGACCCAGTTCCCTTTCTAGGATCTTCTTTAGGGGCAATCATCTCATACTTTTTGCTATTCCCCAAGTCCACTATAATTTCTCTGCCTTTTCCTATTCCCTCTACTTGGGATGCTCTTTTCCAACTTCTTTATCTAATTAATCCCACTCAGGCTTTAAAATTTAGCTCAGTAGATGACACAGTAGTTACGTTGTTGGGCTCCCACATAGTCGACCTAGTTCAAGTCCTGGATCTGGTGCTTGAAAATCATGCTGGGCACATGTGTGTGCATGTATAAGATCCCAGGAGGAGAATCGAGGGAAAAAGATTGCAGCGTGGCCACCCCCTGAGCGGGAGGTGATTTCTCACTCTCTCTCTCTCTCTCCAGTGAGTGCATGAGCGCTAAGGAAAAAAGCTCTAGAAAAGAAAAGAAAATTCAGCTAGGATGTTGTCCCTGTGAAGGATTCTGCCAACCTCTTGCAGATAAAGTTTGTTGCTCGGTGTCTGTTGTTGAGCTCTTGACATCATACTTCTACTGTACTAACATAATCCTTCCCCACAGACCATAAGCAATGAGGTCTGATAACCAACACATCTTACTTAATGCATTGATTAAAGAAAACAGAAGTAAACGAACTAATGAATGAACAATGTTGTTTCCAAGAGAAGACACCATCTTTGCCAGCCTTCTCATCCAAGTAGTGCCTAGAAATTGCTTCTGGTAGGTATCATTTAGTGAGCCACTAGACCAGGTAACAGAGTCATGTTTGCAAAAGGGAGGTCCCTGTGGGGGTGGGAGAAGTAAGAATCTGTGTTTACACTAACAACTCTCCTAGAAAATGTTAACTCTAAGGGATTTTTTTTCTTCTTGCTTTCATCCTCCTTTATTCCCATACAGGACTAATTCCAATGAAATCTGATAAGTGATATTTTGCATTTTAAAAAGCCCTAATTATTTTTTAATTTAAAAGCTATAAACCCAGACCAACCCAGGTGGCACAGTTGATAGCAAATGGTAATGCAGTGCTTGAAGTCACATGACTTCTTGAAGGCTCAGATCCCTGAGTTAGCCTGAAAACACGCCATTGTCTGTATAGGCACCCAAGATCCTGGCAAGTTCAAGGGCTGAGGAAACAGGATCGAGATGTGACAACATCCTGTCAGGGGTGCCTCTCCCTCTCTGTCCCTCTCTCTCCAGCGTACATGCATATGCACTCTACCATGAATAAGATTTAAAACTTGTAAAAATATATAGTTATCTTCACAGGCCTGAAAAATCCTTTATCCAGTAGCTGTGGCTGCTCTTTGAAGCACCACCCCAGGATTTTCCCCTGGTAACTATCGATCAATCCATCTTCACCTAAAAGCCTGGCACCTGTAATATAGGTTCCTGCTTGCCTGCTATTTTCTGGCTAATTTGGTTGCTTCACATCAGGTGACCTGCAGTGACCCATATCAACATGGGAATCATCATACCAGGACAATCTTCAGAAAGAACAGAGGTATGCTGAGCATAAGCAAGATATCAATTTTTAAATCCAGACAGAGTGAATCCATATCATGTGTCTCAGGAAAGCCTGTCATATGCTTTATAATTTTTTCTTCATTCACAATAGAATGCATCCACATGTGGCAGAGGAAGGGGCGAGGGGCAACATCCATAGGCTTATCATGCCTTGTCCTCCAGCCCATCAAATCCTGGACACCCACGTATGATGGGTTTCAAGCTGACTGAGCTGGAAATTCGAACTGCCATTGCCAGGTAGAACCAGTTTTTCTTGCCGTGCATTATTGCTGCACCATGGAGCGAATTTCATTTTTGTTTTAGAGAGAGATTTTTGTTATAGGACATGCACCCACCAGAGACATACAGGGAGACAGAAAGTGAGAAATTACCCCTTAGGGGGGATAGCCACACTGCAATCCCTTCTTCATTTTCCTCTCGGGATTTTGGGCACGCACGCACTTGTACCTGGAGTGAGTTTCAAGTCACCTGGTCCGGGATTCAAAACATGGTTGGCTATATGAGAGTCCAGTACCTCAATCACCATGCCACCTGCTGGCCCCACTGCTTCAGTTTCTTGATCTTTGCCATTCTCTGTAGGAAAAGTATATCCGTTCCTATGAAGTCTATAGCAGGACATTTATGAGGTCAAGGAAAGACATGGAAAACCGTCCCAAGCTGTTTAGTTCATATTTATCAGCTGTTTATAGAGGCCGGCATACAAAAGCCTTTACATGCTTTGTTTAATCTTCCCCAAACCCTGGGAGGTTTTTATCCCAGTTCTGCAAATGAGGGGACTGACACAGAGAAGTCCACAACTTATCCAAATTCACATAGTTTGTGGATGCCAGAGTAAGCTTTGGAAATCAGGTCTGTCTGACTCCAGAGCCTGAACCTGTCACCACCACCCTAGGCTGACTCTTCCCTGACTTCTCATTAGAAAAGAGTTTCTCCAACATGTGTAATTCCCCCATCATGCTCATAAGATCTTACTCCATTTGGCTATATTGGTATGCTCTTCTTAAAAAAAAAAAAAAAGGTAATTATGCAGAAAGCATGGTCCAAGTATTTATCATATTCAGACATGCAAACCTTCTCTGAAAATTTAAAAATAATTTTTAAGAGCTCCATGGGAGAAAGGAGATTATTTGTGTCCCCATGACCCACATTTTTAGATTTTAGTATAAATATCTTTTTGTGGATGGACAGAGACCCCCCCTTTCTCAATTCAACAGTCAGGAGCATTCTGTGTGGTGCTGCCCGCAGAGGAAGGTATCTTGCACAGAGCTCACCTGGTCCTCATCTAGTGAGCATGCCCACCGTATGAGAAGGACTGGGGACACATCCTTCCTCTGCAGGAGCTACAACCCAGGAGCTCACCTCCGGTCGGAATTTACAGCCCAAGACAGACTAGATCATTAGGTCTACCAAAGCCCACAAAGCAATAAGCTGAGGAGAGAAAATCATAACCACCTTGGAAAAATCTCACTCGCTGTATCTCAAAGGCTCTCAAAGGCCAATTTCCCGCCTCCAGCTTCTTCCATTAGTGCTTATTCACCGTACCAGGAGGACCAAGCCAAGGGTGGAAGAGGCCCTAAGTTCATTGCAAAGGATGGAGCTAAAGAAACATGCGAACATTTCTCCTGAGCAGCGACTAGACTGAGAATGGACAACTTTTTCTTTCCAATGGGTATTAAAGCCGGTAACACGTGAGTGTGCCAAACAATCTCAAGGTGAGCCACTACAAGGTGCTAGGCGGTGAGCCTTCCTCCCACCTTCAAAGGCAGCCTCTCTCACGGCGCATATATATATATATATATATATATATATAAGCACTGAGTGGCAAAGGCCACTGCCCAGAAGCGGTAGACCCGGCCCATCCACAAGGCCTGGCCCCAAGATGAGTCCAAAAAGTGGGCAACGGAGAGTTAAATCAGGACTGTTCCAGGCCTGGTCAACTCAGGGGCAAGCACACTGACCACCGGAGGTGTGCATGGAGCCTGGCAGAAAGGACAGGGGAGAACAACCAGACTCTCCCACTCACAGATCCCTCACGACTTTACTAGGCATCACCGCCTTTTTAAGGATAAGCCAAGCATGATAGTGGGCATAGGAGGCGGAGACGGGAGACATTCTGGAAAATTCCAAGGTAGTTTTAAGCGCAATCGCTCCCTAGGCAGGCCAGGGAAGCAGCTGTTTGGTGCTTCCTTGCTAAGGTGCTGCCGCTGGGGCCCAGGCTGTGCCTTGGTGTGGAAGAGAGTTTTCAAACATCTGCCTTTCTAAAACTACTCTCCTTGCATCTCTGGGAGGCACCCAGAAGATGTTTGTCTTCCAGGGCAGCAAATCCGGTTATTTATCTCCCTAGCCTGTGGTATAGTCATACAGTAACGAATGGCCCATTAAACTAAGTTTGGGCGTCTCTCTCCCACAGCCATCCCCTCAGAGGCACCCCCAGTCGGGAGACCGTAGGCGTGCGCTGCAACCTTCCAGCCTCAATTCCCCTCCCTCCGCCACCTCCCCTTCTCCCCTCCCTCTCCCGCACCCCCTCCCTTCCGTTATTTGGGAGATTAGAGTTCATTAATTAAATCCTGTGCTTAGATCGAACTGTAACATTATTCCAATCACATTTATCTTGCAGGCGGCAGCGGAGATGGCAGCCTGGCTGGAAACGCGCGGGGGAGCCTAAGCCGGCGGCCGGAGACGCACAGCGCAGCGCGCTCCCTCCACGCCGCCGCGCAGGCTCTGCATCTTCTCGCTCAGCCTCCCGGCCCCGCGCGGCCCTGCCTCGGGGGTCCCGCAGCTCGCCGGGGCTCCTGCCCGCCCTCACCCGCCCGCCCTCCGTGGCTCCCCGGCCGGGGTCCCCCTCCCCCGCCACACACGCTCACACGCGCGCGCGAGCACACACACACACACACACACACACACACACACTGACACACCAGCGAGCTGCTGGCCGCTCAATGGACCGATTTCCCTGGTTTCCCTGATCCCAGCCCAGCCCGGGATGAGAAATTGCAAAATGGCCCGGGTCGCCAGTGTGCTGGGGCTGGTCATGCTCAGCGTCGCCTTGCTGATTCTATCGCTCATCAGCTACGTGTCCCTGAAAAAGGAGAACATCTTCACCACTCCCAAGTACGCCAGTCCGGGGGCGCCCCGAATGTACATGTTCCACGCGGGATTCCGGTGAGTGCGGGCCTCCTCTGGAGCGCCCTCCGGTAGGGGGGGGGGGGGGGGGGGGGGGCCAGGAAGAGGGTGTTTTTGGCTTTTCGGACACACTTCGGGCAAGATAACTGCGTGATCCTTCCCCTCCACTCTCGGATTCCCCCTTCCCCTCCCCTTTATTTTTTAACCCAAAGCCCCTGAAAGACGTTGTCCTAATCGATGTGATTGCATTTCTCGTATTCTTCCTCGGCATCCCTTCCCCCATTTCAAACATGGGGGGAGGGCCTTTAAGGAGAAAAATGATGGAGGTAGAGGCTGACTGTGTTTGGGAGGGGGGCGATGAGTCGAGAGATGGACAGGCGAGAGGTGAGCGCCCGCCCCGCGCCGTGCCCGCAGCCTCCACCAGCCAGGCTCGGTGTCGGGCGATGTAATGGCGCAGGCGCCGGGCTCGGCTCGCACCCTCCTCCTCTCCTCCCCCACCACTCCCAGCAAATGATGCGCGGGTTTATTCTCATGGAGCCCCTGGGGCCTTCTCTCTCGACCCTTTCCCCAGCTGCCACCCCACCCCCCTTTCCGGGATTTCTTCGCTTCCCCCGCCCCCTGCGGGAAGTGAGCGTCCTAGGGGCCGCCAGGTGGAAGTCGCTGCCCGGCGCGGGGCTGCCCCGGGAAGACGCCAGGCTCAGCTTGGCGCAGCTCTGCGGAGCCCCCACCAGTACCTGTGACCCCAGGAGCTCTCAGCAGCGGTTCCTAACCCGCCAGAGGCCAAAACCAACTGCAACTTGTGGTCCAAGCTGGGTCGGGGGTGCAGGACCTAGAGAAGCTCCACCTGGGCGGGAGAGCGGAGCTGGCCCGCGTCTTGCCAGGGCCCCAGGCAAGGGACTAGGGGGGGAATCGGACCCAGGCTCGGGAAGGAAGAGGTTAAGGCAAGAGCCATCCACTGTTTTCCCCTGGGTCTCTGGTTTCCTCTGCCCTTTCTCGAAAAATCAATGCGCTGGGGTGGCGGGGGCGTCGCGGGTCGAGCTCGCGGAGCGGCCGCTGTCCGCGGTGCTGACCACCCTCCTCGCGGCGCCGCGGACTCCGATGCGCTCCGCTCCCGCCCCTGCCTCCGCCTGACGGCCATTTTATGGTCTCTCACACCCACTGGGATGGACAATGGAGACGGGTGTCCCTAGTTGTCTTTCTTTTTCTCGGGTGTGTGTGGGAGCAGGGAGAAGGCAAAATGAGAGGGGGTCCTGGGGCGGGATGGAGCCCGAGCGTATGCCAGCTCCCGCCCCTCGCGCCCAGCTGGCTAGACTTGAATGGCTCCCGGCTTCCCCGCGCTGAGACCAGCACGTTTGTCTGTGCTCATGCCCCTCTGCAGGTCACAGTTTGCGCTGAAGTTCCTAGACCCGTCATTTGTGCCCATTACGAATTCTCTGACCCAGGAACTCCAAGAGAAACCTTCTAAGTGGACATTTAATCGGACAGCGTTTTTACATCAAAGGTAGGACAGGAGGAAAAATCCCAAAGATGTTGAACTATGGAGCTCAAAAAAACAAAACAAAACAAAACAACAAAAAAAAGTCCCAAATAACAAAGATCTATTCCCCCACCCTCACCACCAGGTGTATTGGCGTTGTCTTCTTGGCCTGGGTGCACAAAACCATGATTCATGAGCAATACACCTCTTACACGTATGTGATGCTCTTTCCTCAACCGGAAACATCATGACTAACAATTTGTGCAGGTCACAGTTTGCGCTGAAGTTCCTAGACCCGTCATTTGTGCCCATTACGAATTCTCTGACCCAGGAACTCCAAGAGAAACCTTCTAAGTGGACATTTAATCGGACAGCGTTTTTACATCAAAGGTAGGACAGGAGGAAAAATCCCAAAGATGTTGAACTATGGAGCTCAAAAAAACAAAACAAAACAAAACAACAAAAAAAAGTCCCAAATAACAAAGATCTATTCCCCCACCCTCACCACCAGGTGTATTGGCGTTGTCTTCTTGGCCTGGGTGCACAAAACCATGATTCATGAGCAATACACCTCTTACACGTATGTGATGCTCTTTCCTCAACCGGAAACATCATGACTAACAATTTGAATAGGGGGGAAAAAAAAAAGAGTATTTTCAGTATCCTCCCCAGCTTGGACTTGACAGAACATCATGCTGTACAGTTAACAAGCCTGGCTAATTCTGCCAGAGTCATCTATTTAAAAAAAATAAATTTTAAGAAAAGTTCATTGAAAAAAGACTATCCCATGCATTTTCATTTCCCCACTGAAAAGAGTTGAAAAATGAAGTAAGATGATACTGTCTTATTGAAACACACAGAAAATATCATAATTCATCTCTATCACATTACTAGGGAAAATCTTGGCCCAAACATATGTAGGTATTTAAGGATGGTTTTGTTTGGGTTTTGCTTGTGTGTTTTCATTAAGTCTTTACAGTTTTAATTTCTTATAATGCTCTCTTACATCTTTCTTATTAATTGTAGCAATCTTGTTTTGTACATAAAGGAGGGTGTTTGTTTTTTGCTTTTTGGTTTGTTTGTTTGTTTTTTCTTTTAGGTGAGGAAGGGAAAGATAAAATTCATGCCCATTTATTTTTTTGCCTCAGCAATTCTGGTAGACTTTTAGCAACCCCAGATAAGTTTTCTTTCTGGGTGGGATTACTATGCTGCTAATGGAATGTGAGCCATCTAGTGTATTTATCAGGGGTTTGAATACTTACTTTACAAACCACTGTATTTTGAGAGCTATGTTTTGGTCATAGCATTTCTAGTTAGTGTTCTCTCTCCCTTTTTTAAATTTTAATATTCTGACAGAATTTAAACAAACTCAGTGGATTCACATGGCGTTTTGAAGATGAAGTTTACTTGAAAAGTTGATGTACAGTCATTGATTATGATTAAAATGTTTAAAACAGCAATGTTTAATTAGGAAGTAGCTCATCAAAACTAACCAATTCTAAAAGCCCTAGAAGTTAATTTTTTTAAAAAAATATTTGGGCTTTCAATTCAATATTAATTTTAAGTGCAACCCAGACAGTGTTCATGGGTAAGACACATTATATCTTTCCCCGAAACGTATTTCTAACTTGATAAAAGTATTCTTTCCACACTAGGTCATGTGACACAAATCATCAGTCAGAATATTTTTCTTCTCAAAACATTTCTCCTTTCAATTGATTTATTAGGTAATCTTTAGTTTTTACCAGTATCATTGCTGTCATTTTAAACTTGACTTACTTTTTTAAAAAGCTTGTTAGAACAATACTGGTAATGTTAAAAATTTTGGATTGTAAATATTTTTAAAAGATATAAAGATTATATTTATAAAGATTTCAATTTATATTGCTCTATACTTTGAAAAATGAAATCTTTAAAAATAAATTACCAAGCAAAGTTATTATATGCAAAGCATTATGTATCATTCTTTTTTTTTTTAGGCAAGAGAAACAGGAGAATTTATGTGATTTCTTAGCAGAGAATCTAGTAGCAAAGTAACATGTTAAGGTCTCTCTTAAATATTTTAATGCCTGAGACTTTAAGGAGAGATACTTAATTTTACTTAAAGTTCAACGTGAATGCAATGTGAAGTAAACTGTAATTACCACTCTTGACTTGTTTATCCTCTGAATTTTTAGAATATACACACATTTTCAGAATATGCAATAGTTTATTTTCATAAGGACTGGAGTTCTCTAAATTGTGTTTCTGTGTAATCAAGTAGAAAAATATCTTTGTTTCATTATTCAAAGGACTTTAATGAGATTATCATCTCATTTCTACTAAATATTCAACTACACCCACTGCTATTACCATTTTAATGTTTTAATAATAGATAGTGTTATACTGACTCATATTTATCTGGCTTTTATTTGGACACCAGTGATATTTGATATTCTTTGAACATTGTAGTCCAATCGCAAACAAGTAGTCCCTAGTTACAAACTCTAAGTCAGCAATGTTTGTACATTAATGTGAGTTCTTTGGGGCCTATGTAAACTGTCTCCCTGTATTACCCAACACAGTTCGGCCCGTGCCTCTCCGTAGTCAAATACACCTTATGTACTGAGCACAGAACCAAGAAATGGCAGCTAAAACTGTAAGTTGCCTTTATAGCCTTCCAAAGTTTACATTCAGAACTTGACTGAAGGATTAGAACAAGGATGCAGATTCTGAAGTGTCCTCCCTTCAAAGACTACAATTATGAATGTGCAGTCTCTTTTAGATTCAATGTACCGGAAATATTTGTCTGAATGAAACAGCAGCATAAGACATAAGGTAGAAAATCTATTATTTTGAATGGAATACATTTAATGAATTTTTTTTTATTTTAGGCAAGAAATTCTTCAGCATGTCGATGTAATAAAAAATTTTTCTTTGACCAAGAATAGTGTTCGGATTGGACAACTGATGCACTATGATTATTCCAGCCATAAATATGTTTTCTCTATTAGCAATAACTTCCGATCACTGCTTCCAGATGTCTCACCCATTGTGAATAAGCATTATAATATTTGCGCTGTGGTTGGAAATAGTGGGATCCTGACAGGGAGCCAGTGTGGACAAGAAATAGATAAATCAGATTTTGTGTTCCGTTGCAATTTCGCCCCTACGGAGGCTTTCCAAAGAGATGTTGGAAGGAAAACCAACCTTACCACCTTCAACCCCAGCATCCTGGAAAAATATTACAACAATCTTTTGACCATTCAGGACCGTAACAACTTTTTTCTCAGTTTAAAAAAGCTTGATGGGGCCATCCTTTGGATCCCTGCATTTTTCTTCCACACTTCAGCAACTGTCACCAGAACATTAGTTGACTTTTTTGTTGAACACAGAGGCCAGTTAAAGGTCCAGTTGGCTTGGCCTGGAAATATAATGCAACATGTCAACAGGTGTGTATATTTTATTGCATTTAATCCATACCCCACCAGATGGCAAATCAATACTATAGCATCTTGGGGGTGGGAGCAGCCAATTAGTTAGTCTCTGTGGTCAGGTTAGTATTTTAGGGTAAGTTCTTACCTTTTGTAATAAATGAATGAATTATTTTAGGTAAGAATTTCAGTCTACCCTCAACTGGTAAACAGGTACCAAAGGGACAGCTTAATGCTTCATCAGTCTCCTTCCCTATTCCCTGTCCTCTTCCTTGCTAGTAAGCCTAACAAGAGGTCATGGAAGTCACAAATCAAGAATTTTCTTTAAATAGATAGCTATTTCCCAATTATGCCAATGACTAAATTAGACAAGTCAAGTGTTTTTTGTTGTTGTTGTTGTTTGTTTGTTTTTAAAGAAAATGTGATGGGACCAGCAGGTGGCATGGTGGTTAAGGCACTGGATTCCCACATAGCTGACCAAGGTTTTTGTTTTTGTTTTTGTTTTTGGAGAGGTTTTTCACTATAGGGCACGTGCGCTCACCAGACAGACAGAGACATAGAGACAGAAAGCGAGAAATCACCCCCCCAGGGTGGATGGTCACGCCGCAATCCCTTCTCCTCCATTCTCCTCTCGGGATCTTGGGCATGCACACACACGCGCCCGGCGTGAGTTTTAAGTCACCGGGTCCGGGACGTGAACCACGGTCGACTACGTGGGAGTCCAGCAACATAGCCATTATGCTAACTGCTGGTTCCCTAGCTGACCAAGGTTTGAGTCTCGAATATAGCAGTTTGAAAATCACGCTGAGTGTGTGTGTATGTGCCCAAAATCCCAAGAAGAGAATGAAGGAGAAGGAATTGTAATGTGGACACACCCCATGTGGGGTGATTTCTCACTTTCCTTCTCTCTGTCTCTCTCCAGAGAGCACACATACCCTATGGTAACTCCCCCCACGACCACCACCAAAAAAAGATGTGAGCAATTTAAAATTAGCTTTTTATTTGATGTTTAGGTGTTCTTTAGATGTCCAAGATTATCAAACGACCTAGATAAATCAGAAACTGCATAATCTGCCTTTGTAATTTGATAGTTAAGTGCAAAAATATGTGAAAAGTATTTAATGAGCTCATTGTTATCCCTTGTAATTTGATAGATTGACCAAGATGTAATAGTTTTGTCTAGTCTGGTGATTTTCAGCTATGTTTGTATATTAGAATAATTTGGAGAGCTTTAGAAAGTACTATTACCTGGACTGTAGCTCAAGAGATTCTAATGTAATTTTTCTGGTAGGGTGGGGGTTGGGAGACAAAGTACTTGATTTTTTTTTTTTTTTTTGGAGAGATTTTCGCTATAGGGCGCGTGTGCTCGCCAGACAGACAGAGAGAGACATAGAGACAGAAAGCAAGAAATCACCCCCCAGGGGGGATAGTCACGCTGCAATCCCTTCTCCTCCATTCTCCTCTGGAGATCTTGGGCATGCACGCACACGCGCCTGGCATGAGTTTTAAGCCACCGGGTCCAGGACACAAACTGCGGTCGACTACGTGTGAGTCCAGCGACATAGCCATTATGCTAACTGCTGGTTCCCAGTACTTGTTATTTTTTAATAACTCCTTAAATGAGTATAATATACAGTCAGAATTAAGAGCCATTAATCTGGTGCATTTTTTTCCCCTTCAAATCATCTGAAAAAATTGCCTCGACTTTAATTTCCTTTATACAAAATTAGCCCCAGTGTCCCAGATATTATTGTTAAAGTGGTTTTTGGAGACCTAGTAAACAGGGAATTCTAAAGCTTCTATCCCACAATAGCTTATTCCCATCCTGTAGTCCCCTGGTATATTCCAATTTTAAGATCTCTCACAGTTGACCTCTCACAGAAGGAAGACTCAGAGTCTAAAAAAACTGGTATGTATTTAAAAGGTAAGGTGAAACCAACCATGTGTATTTGAAACTGGAACTTGTCCTTTGTGAGAAAGGAGACACTCTTAATCATTACAACAGGGGTAACAGATATAAAATGGGTCTGTTCCTATTTCCCAGGATGTATGGCCATCTTTTTAAGAGACAATGTAGCTCAATTCTTAAGTTTAAAGATGAGTCAACTGAGGTACAAGGGGCAGGAGTTATTTACCCAAAGTCACTACTCAAAATGGGTCCACCTAGAATTAGAAACCAATCTCCTGCCAGCCTGCCCTGTAGTCTTTGCCCTCGTCATTGTGCTCCCATCTTGTTAAATTTAAGGGAAGCTGTGCCCAAAGAATTGTCAGTCATGAACTCACCATATGTAAAACTGGTAACACCAAAACTGAACTTTTAAATTTCATCTCCCCTCAAAAAAAGTTCATCTTTGAAGCTTTCAAGTAGTAAAGAAGGAATTCCTTAGAAACCGGAAACTGGCCTATGTGACCTACCTGTCACCAAAGGTCTGTAGAATTAACCATAATATTCCTCATCTACTCAGGCTGGAACCAAATACATTGCTTCAATGAAAACTGAAAATAGATATAGTCTGTAGAAATCTAATTCATGAAAAGTTAAATTCTGCATGTACAACCAATGATAAATATACACACACACCACTGAAAGCTCACATAGGACTTCTGTGTGGGTAGGAAGGCTTCACAATACTATCTAAATATGGAAGGAACAACAGCATAATTTAGCTCATTTTTTTTTTAAATTTAGAAGATGTGTAAATACTCTCCTCAGGTTTTGGCATACTAAAGATGGGCTTGGGAACCCCTCGTTAGAAGATAGACGATCAGAGAACACAATTTTTAACAAGAAAAAAAGGAGAAAAATAAGGCCCCACACTATCGCCAAAGCCAGAAAAAAAAGCATTTATTTGGGGGCTTGGGAAGGGAAGTGACAGAAGAGATTTTCTTAGATTAAACAACCTACTCCATCATATCCAAGGTCCTTTCTATAAGAGAAGCACAGTCATTCTCATCAGTGACCTTCTGTGGTAGGCAACTCCCATTGAATTAGAGCTGCCACTCTAGGAAGACCCAAAGGCAGGGCCTGCTTCGAAGGCATGAAACCAATGTGGGATCCGCCCCAGATCCCATGCTCAAACAGATCTATTTTGATTTAGTATTCTGCTCTCACAATTCTTTAAATCTTTGACATTTTTGAAGTAAGAGTTCAAATTTTTATTTTTTATTAGATCTCACAAATTATACAGCTGGTCCTGCCCAGAGGTTTATTAGAGTCTAAAAGATGTATTTCAAGCAAGTACCATTTATGGTATATGGACAAATCCACATGCCAGCCTAGTCATATTGACCTATCTCACTGAACACTTCAACACTGGCCTCTCAATCCACATGTACTTATTGTTCCACAGGTACTGGAAAAACAAACATTTGTCACCCAAACGGCTGAGCACAGGTATTCTTATGTACACCCTTGCATCAGCAATATGTGAAGAGATCCACTTGTATGGATTTTGGCCTTTTGGATTTGACCCCAACACAAGGGAAGATCTTCCGTACCATTACTATGACAAAAAAGGAACCAAATTTACCACCAAGTGGCAGGAGTCCCACCAGTTGCCAGCTGAGTTCCAGCTGCTGTACCGAATGCATGGGGAAGGGCTCACCAAGCTGGCTCTGTCACACTGTGCCTGAGAACTCTGGACGGAAAGTGCCAAATGGCTGCTTTAAAAGTGCCCCAGGTCAAAGTGAATAATCTTCAGATTAGAACCCTAGAGAATGTGTTTTAAGGATTGTCTGACATTTGAAAGGAAAAATGTCTTCTCTCCCTCTTTTGCACTGCTCTTTTAAGGGTCTTAGCGGATTTAGAAGGACAGATATATTGAAGCTACGTGATTGAACTTGACTGATAAAGAGAATGTTGCATTTGGAACTTTGCTGCTAACAAAATGGTTTGAAGTATTTTCATGTTTGTATTTTAATAATAAAATGCCTCCTGGTTTTATGAGGAGTAGAGCTATAGTTTCTACAGCTCTGCTTAGATAGACATAGTCCTCATAATTAGAGGCCTCTGGGCAGTTGGGGGGCGGGGGCAGGATCACAGTTTTGCTGGTGGGATCAGACTCTTCAGAATGGAAACATGAGACTGGTTTACATATCCCACTTTTCTCTCTTTCTCATCTATCTATTTCTATTCTGTCTCTATCATCTCCCTTGCTCTCCTGCAACCACTGTTCTGGCCCCACCACCATGGAGTCTAATAGTTTACGAGGAATCCTATTGAATTAGCTTTGCTTGTATGTGTCGCATCTGTACCTGATGTGTTCAAGGCTCTGGTTAAATTTGATGTTTAATGACAAGTGAAGCAAGTCATGATGGATCCCCTCATGATCACTTTTATAAGAAATGCTTCTTACAAAGTCCTCAGCAGTTGATATGGTCATTCTACAGCAGGGTGGTCCCTCCGGGATGAGTGGCATATACTGCCTTGCATATTTCACTATCACAAAGAAAGCCTCTGTCCTGGGTGGCCTTGCATCTGTTGACATGAGTGCTATTAAGGCAAATAATAGCACTGTTGCCACATCTATGAGGTCATTCAAGCCTAGGTTTAGTGCCTCCTACAATCCCAATCCAAGTAGTAGGCTGGGCATTCTCAGAATATAGAGGCAATGAGTCAGCTTAAGAGCCTGGAACACATAAAGGGAAAGAAAAAAGAATGCTTAGAGATTGCTGTGAAATTCTGTATGCTCTAAAGTGTTGACACCCCCTTTGAGTCTTTAAGAACCAGCAGGGTTAGAGTGAAGGAGAAGCTTTGTGGTCGGTCAGTCAGGCCCCACATGAAAAAGTACAGAGCTGAGGTCCTTTTCAGTATGGTACCTCCTACCACCAAGTCAGAATTGTTTGTTCTCTTCAGGACAGTTATAGACTCTTCCCATTGAAATCAGATCTGTATGCCCACAAATTAAGCATCCCAAAAAGAAAAGCCATTATGTGAAAGACAAAGCCATTGCACAGTAACAAGATTTGGTATTAAATAACCCTGAGAATTGAGATTATGTAGACATATCATGAAGGAACTCGTTGGCCATTCTATTTTTTCATTATTTCAGACTTAGAAGCAGAAATCACACCATCCCCAACCCTGGCTTTTTTTTTAAGTGAGCAGAACTTTGTTCTTCCAATTCAGCCTGAAGTCTGGCCAAGTTGATATTAAATTTTAATAAGTTTCTTTCTTCTTTCCAAATGCCAGTCAAGCACATTGTTATACATTTGAGTTGGGTAGTTTGTACTCTTCCAGAAATTTCATCTATTGTAGATTACTTGCAAAAAACAGCTATTGTTAAAAATAATTTACTGTAATTCAGTTTACTGCCCCTCTTTGGGAAGGTACAATCATGCCCAAAATTAAATCAAATACAACAGGAAAAAAATAGTCTTTATGCTCATGTTCTTACTGGCACTAAGGCTGTCTTCAAAAAGCTAATTGGAGGGACTTACATAGATCCAGGTATTAATTAGTAAAAGAACCGCTCAAGTTTGAACTGCTCAAGTTCAAACACGTTACCAATTGTGACACATCTTACAACGCTGTACATAATGATGATCATGCAAATAAATGGGAAGAATGAAATATAGGCATTTCGAAATGGTAAACACTAAAACAGCACGATACTTGAAATGAGTAGAATGAGAGTTTATTAAAAACTTCTTAACTTAGTGATATAATTTAATGAACATCAACACCACACCATGTTTATTCTCTGTCACTTTAAAGAGTACAGTATTCTCATTCTCATGCCCTGCACTATTAGGATTACTTCGAGATTGATAACTGACAGAAGTGTTGAGTTGGCTGATCCTGAGCTCTTAGTTCATTAGGTTACAGCTAAGTGAAATTAATGCCAATATTCCATGAGCCAGATTCTGACTCTGGAGTTTTAATCCCAATGTGCCCATTAGTTTTCACTAAATATAAATGCATGGGCAGGTTAAAAGACTAAAAAATCAGATTCCCTAAAATTGTTTAATTGTTCCATCATGGACTATTTAAATTTGATCTCATCATAAGCCAAGGGTTTTTTGTTTGGTTGGTTGTTTGATCGATTGGTTGGTTTAAATTCAGGGAGAATTTTCAAACTTAACTACACTCTTGGCTCCTAATCTTAGAGCGCGAGGACTTTTCCAGTCCCCACCATCATTTTGTCTATTACTCATGAGAAGTCAAAATAATGAGGAAAGGATTTGTCTCCAGAACTGGAGACGTTTAGAGAGCAAGCTCATTTCTACTTCTAGGCAGTATTTTCTAGAAATGACCCCAAAAGACCAGGTTTCCCTTTGAAAAGCATCCTCTATCTGATCATACAAAATTTTATTTTATTTTAAAAGACTATTTCAAAAGTTGAACGTCTATAACCACTTTCATGACCTAAAGAACTGGTTGGTCACAAGTGTCCTGATTAGAAAGGCCATGGTAGAAGTCACCAGAAGTTGCTGATTCTGCTCTGGCTCCCAGGCTTGTGTGCTCAAGTGCAGTGAACTGGACATATGGGACTATGGGATCCTCCTTCCTGACTCAGCTGCAGATGCAGGCCCCTGACTTCTGAATTGGCCTGACTTTGTTGGCTCTTAACTTAGTATCCTTTATCACGACCTTTCCCTTTTTTATGATTCTCACAGTGGAGTCCACTTTCAGCTATTGAATAAATTCACCAGAAAGCCCTCAAGGCTATCTACACATGACATCAACACAAATGACCAATTAAATCGCAGGGGTGGGGAAAACCCACATACATTTGACAACCTGCTTAGTACTAGACCCTCTGTTTCCTTGATTGTTCTAGTGTCACGTGGACACATGTAGATCCCAGAGGAGATGTGTTGAAGGTGGCTTATCAAGAATGTCTCCCACACCCAAAAATATCTTTCCCATATTTGAGATTAAAATGCCTGGGTTTCTCTACCTTTGTCTCTGTGTTTTAAGTGACCTTGATTATTGTGAAAGTGCTTACATTTAGCAGCATGGTGTGCCTAGCAGTGCTGACTGTAACCACTATGCCATCTATCTGTGACCTCAATGTCAGGCACCTGACCATGGGGCTACCAGCCCAGATGTGCAAAGGAAGAGATCCCAAGCCTTTTTGTGCTTGGGCCACCAGTTTTCCATGAATGTGAGTGTTGAGACAGAATAATATGGTGGGGAGGCTGAGGAATGAAAAAAAAAAAGAAAGAAAGAAAAGAAAATGCTCTTCTGACTTTGTGAAGGACACTCAGACAACAAGCAGTGTTGATCGAAGTCAAAGGAAACAGGGACACCATAGTAGAATACTAGAACACTGCAAATGGAAGAGCCTTTGAGCTTCTCCAGTCTTATTTCTTGACTTTACAAAAGAGAAAAATGGAGAAACAGAGAGGCTAAGGGATTTGCCCAAGATTACACAGGAAATTAGTGGAAATACTGTGACTCTTCACCTAGGACTTTTTGGCCTTATTAGCATCAAATAAAGACAGGTTCAAAGGAAAAGTGATTTTGGTCGAGAATCTGCAGGGCATGTAAAAAGAGTTGGGAAAGCTACAAAGATAGAAAAGAAATTCTCAAATCCCCTGCAAGTCCCCCCACCCTCAAAAATTATTTCTTAGCACAAAGGAATAAAGGAGATGCTTGTCTACATATACAACAGTCCACTGAACTAAAAGAAAACCCTCTTGGTAAATCACAATTTGCTTAATCACAATTCAGTTACTGATGCTTCATAGTTAACAGGTGAATTTTATCCAATAAGCTAGTCATCTTAAAAAAGCTTGTTTCTGTAATATGTATGTATCATTTAGAAGTTGAAAATGGTTATATACTTTTCCGTGTGTATAAATTTCAGTATAGTTCCCTTGAGTTAAGTAATGCTTTCCTTATAACTTCAATAGCAGACTGAATTAATGCTTTTAGTTAAATATGCTGAGATGGTATACAAAGAATCATGAATAACTTTAGTGGATCTTTATGTGCAAAATGACAGGCTGGGTGATTTTCTCTACAATTCTGTATCCTTTACTCTTTTCTTCCCATAATTATTTGAATGTACCAGACAAAGTTTCTGCATAGGCTCTACTTTTCTCTGGATGCGTAGAACTATCCTTTCATTTACAGAGAGACTTGGGGCTGTGTGTATGTGGCTGAAGAGCCTAGATGGAGAGCCATGAATGCTGAGGATTTAGGGCACCTTGGTGTGCTGATTAACCTGTCTACACTCTGTGGCCCAATTAATCAAGGCCACAGATGAGTTAATATCAAGGACCAAAATGACTTAATTATGCTTCTTTCATGTTCTGATTGCTTTGTCACATAGATAGGACATTTGAAGTGAGAATCATTTTCGAATGTCATTATTGTATTATGCAATATTTCTGAATATTTATTTTCTTGTGTATGATAACTTATAATTGAAGACACACGTGTTTAAACAGATTGTTTTTATCCTCAATAATGCTCACTCTATTGTCACTGAATAACTGACTCCAATTTAAGATTACAGTGGGGCTCTGAGGTTAGGACCTGGATTATGTTACTGATCCACCAGCAAACAAAACTGTATGAAAGGAGGAACGCTTCAAAATACAGTTTTTGCTCCTCTCTCCAGACCTTTGACTCTCAACACCTTGGGATAAGTCCACTTACAAAGATTCCCAAGTGATTCTGATGTGACCAGCATCTGAAAACCAACAATAGATAGCAGAGTCATATAAACCATTTTGACCAAAGTAGCTGAATGCTTGTCACTCCTCATGCAATTACTATCAGATATTCCTTGGAGTTACCATGATACATGGCAATATGGACATGTCTTAGTGACTCAACCATTCAATTGTTTTAGCCAAATTGACCAGTTGCCAATTAGTAAGCAAATAGTAACTGGTCGATTTAGTCAGAATGGATGCAAGCCTGAAGACAAAGCAGGGCATGTACTTTTTATATAATTCATCCCCAAGGTCAGCTCTTTATAGTTCACTCTTTGTATTTCAAACTAAGAGGCAGATCTCAGGTTGCTTATCTTTATAAATGCATAGACTAAAAAACAGGAAAGTTGAATGATTCATTCAGATTCAACTTGGAAGTCACTCCTGCAGCCTAAAATATTCCTGAAGGAGTCTGATGTCTCGATTTCCAGAAAAATGCCAAAATACAAAGATCTTCAGACTAAAATAAAACTAATCAAAAAAGGAAAATCAAGGGCCTAAAATTCTATCGCCAATTCAATTTAAGTGAGGCAGTGAGTTCTTACTATCTACCTTATACCAGACCCTGTTGTAAAAAGTGCCACCATTCAAATGAAGTTTTGGTCAGGCTTTTTTCTGTAACTGTGCACATGCAAAGCCTTTAATACTAAAGGGCTTCGTTGTTTTCCCTTCTGTGTGATTCAGAGACAGTTTTAGCTCTTTGATGTGCTGCTACATGTTTAATAACTGGCTCTGTAGAACAGTGGAACCTCGATTTGTAGCACTTACCGATTTCCATGGTGTAAATAATCTCATCATAGCCAATTTCAAGCTACTAACTTAATGTCAACCAGCTGAAAATGTAACACACATTTTCAAGAGCCAGTATGAGTTGGCTCCAACACATGAGCCATTCCAGCACAGCACTGCCCGAACTAGTCTGAATCAGTGAGTACCAGGCAGAATAGGCTAGCTTTGAAGGGACTCCCACATGTCCCCTCCCTTTTGAGGGGCATTTCCACTTTGGTCAGTTTTACTATTTTTTAGCTGAAAAAAAGCTGGACTTTATTTGCCCTCAGAAAATTTCATAATGGTGAAGAAACACCACAGAACGGGAACACCTCTGGGCAACTTGGGTGGCTGACCAGGCAAACTGCAGAGCAAAGTGTCATGTGATGTGTTGTCCTAAGCTAAGCTAATTGTTATGCTGGACCATGACAAAAACAAAAATCTACTAACACACATTTGGCCACTGCAATCCTCTGGCACTAAACAGTAGAGCAATTGGCCTTCCTTGTCATTAAATGTAAGAGTTCTTTCTTCTGAGTATTAAAAATCAGTTACCTATGGCCCTTTCCCTGACACGGAAGGGAAAAGTCCATAACTACAAACAGAAGGGACCTGATAGACAGCCAAACCTGTCTGAAGGAAACACTATTCCCATAACATCTTTAGTTAAAGATATGGGAACAAAAAATTGGTAGACAATGGGAGAGAGGTTTGGTCAATATGCCTAAGTAAAATAGAGTCACTGAAGCCCTTGCAAATTGGAGGGGGAGGTATCGCTTTGAAATGTGGAATCTAAACATTTTGCAAGACTCAAAATAACTGGACTCTGTGTCATAAATGCTCTTTAATCATATTTCAAAACTGTACAGAAAAGTAGCCTTACAGCTAAGGGCCCTGGGAAGGGTTTATTGACAGGTTGAGATCTAATCACCAAGAGTCGGTGATTAGCACTCAAATTCTCCCAGGACACAGCAACAAACATGGAGACATCACAGTGCAGCATCATTTACTCCTATGAGATAGGCACCAAAGTCCATAGCAGAACTTTACAGATCTCGGCATTATCTTAGGTCAAGGTTCTAGATCAATATCCTCAATGTGGAGATGAGACAACTGAGGTTCAGAAAATAGGCAATGACTTGTCTGCCCAGTTACTAACCAGAATTAACAGTCCAGGTCTCCCAAGCCCTGATTCTACCACTCTACACCACGATGCGCCCAGTCTCTTGATGAGAAGTCGACAATCCATTGTGAAAGCATTATAATGAAGACAAAAGAATGTTTGTGATATATTCTCTTATCCTACTTTGGTTCCAGCATTTCATCTTAGCAGCATTTTAAAGACGGTTATATGAGTGAAGAAAGGAACCAAGCTCTCTAGAGTGTAATACTGAAACCAAAAGTCCAAAAGGCAGGAGAATAATGAATGTAAGTTATTAAAGAAATGAGCAAGAAGCATGTTTCAGGGAAAGTAAATGCTTCTTATATTATCACCATCGAGCCCTCCTCCTCACATACTTTGATGCATTTGGTTTGGAAAATGCCATTTTATGCTGAGAGACTTCCCAATACATCAGATGTTCTTTGGCTCTTTGGATGAAACTGTGGCTCCTACAAATTGGACCCACCTCTCTTGTGAGAGGCAGCCTCACCTGCCCTTGGAAAAAAACCGCCAGACTGAGGGCCACAGAGACCTGAATGAAGCCAGCCCTGCTGGACCGAGGCTCCTGTAAATATCTTCTGCCCTCTGGGTGACAAGAATGATCATCTTTCATGGAGGTAATTGTGTGTATATTGTGACTGTAGTTTGTGAAGAAAAAGCAATGGTTTGCTTTGACAGCTCCCCAAATGTACCTGTTAAGTGTGAATGTGCCTGCCTCATTGCCTCATGTGCCAAACACAGTATTGAATGCGTTGTTTTTAAATAAACTGTTTTATTGTGCATTGGAAAATACTACTGCTTGTCTCTGTCCCATTCAACAGATCACACACACACACACACACACTAACACTTCATCCAGTGAAGAAATCAAATGTATCTTTTTTCATTCTCAGTGCTTTTTCCTTTCTTTTTTTCCAAAAATGTTTATTTATTTATTTATTCCATGTGCAAGAGAGACAAAGAGAGACAGAGAGACAAAACCCCCAACAGGGTCTTGACATCATGCTCCAACCCCAGCTTCAGCTAACCCCAGATTACGAACATGCACATACCCAGTGTACTCAGGGAGGTTTCCAGGCATGAGCCAAGAACCGTCCCATGTGGATTAGCCTTACATAGCATTGCATTTACTACTGCACCACAGTTCAGACTCCATTATTCTCAGAGTTTTGAGGTCTTCTTAGAATTCGTAGGACTCGTGGGACCAGCAGTTAGTGTAATGGCTTTGCCGCTAAACTCCCATGTAGCCGTCTGTGGTTTGAGTCCCAGACCCGGTGGCTTTAACTCATGCCAGGCACATGTGCGTGCTTGCCTAAGATCCTGAGAGGAGAATGGAGGAGAAGGGGTTGCAGCATGGCCACCCCCCCAGGGGGGGTTTCTCGCTTTCTCTCTCTCTGTATTTCTGGCGAGCACACGCGCCCTATAGTAAAAAAACTCTCTAAAAAAAAAAATAGAATTTATAGGACTCCAGAAATAATGGGCTTAGCTATCTATAGCCATGAACTAGAAGCAAATGCCACAAGCACCAACATGTATAATATTCATGGGTCTTTTAAATGCAAATCATGCAACAGTTCTTAACATTATTAGTAATAATATATTACTCTTGAATAATACAATACATATACATCATCTGATGTTATCAGTATTTGGGAAGGAAGAGTTGCTAAGAAGCCTGGTTCATATTGCACAGTCAGTGACAAATAGAAAGGAGAACTCAGCCTAACTGTTGGCCCAAAGCTCTCTCCTGCACCTTCACCCCATTCTAATCTCTTTTAGGTCATTTTCTCATAGAACCTTCATTGACTGCTGCTGTCAGCCTCTCTCCCCTTACCCTGTGTTGTTTATCCTCTATAGCATTTTCTTTCATCACTTAAGTGACACTGTTAATTTGTTTATTCATCGTTCGTGTCTCCCACTATATTATAAGCTCTATCTTTGACAAAGCAAGCAACTTAGCCTGTCTTGTTTCACTATGCCCTTAATGCTAAAAACAGCACTAGGAATTTAGAAGGCTCTCAGCTGACATTTATAGATGATGAATAGATACAGCATAGAATCTGTATATCGCTTCAACTATTTTTCACCTTCTCCCTCCCCATCTCTGGATTTACACCACAGACACCAAAAGTGTCTCAGCTATTCTCTGACCATGCTGCTTAGACAGTACCAGGAACAATACTCAATAAGCATTTGTTGAATAAATGAGTTATCCTAGGAATTATTTTTCTCAATACCCATGCTTTAAGGTCAAAAACATCTCAGCATATTAATGCACCAAAACATATCCTGTTCTTGTCCTTGGTTGATTCTAATTTCAAGCAAAAGGAGGAATTCAGTAGGGAAAAAATACAATATGATTAAAATACCCCATCTTCAGTAGACATGGTTGCATCTAAGAGGACTTGCTGTTCTTTAAGTCAAATCTAAAGCTCTTATTGTTCACTATGTATAACACCAAACAAGACATAAACAGGATAGAAAACTAACAAAAACACAAGTCCCATTTTGAATGAATTTAGAAGTTTTATTGGGGAAACAGCTCAACACATTACAAGGGAATGTCTCTTTTATCTTGGCCAGCTCCAAGGGATGTTGGAAATGCAGGTAAAGGATGAGCGACAGAGAAAGACGGAGAGAAAGGCTGACTTCCATTAAGTTAGAGTGAAGACAATAAAAAATTTTAGAAGCAAAATGTAATCTCAGGGTTTGTTTTTTCTGAAAATAATTTGCCAGGCTGATTACTTCCCCCCTCCCCACCAAATCTCCTCAATACAGATACGCAGAGAAATGGTAAGTTGTTCAAAAACAAAACAAAATACTTCACAAACTTTAGCAAAACATGAAATTGACACAAAGTTTATTGCAGACCCTCTGCCTAGGGCTGATTAGTCCAAATCAAATTTTGAAAGTAGAATTTTTTTTCCTAAGAAAATGCTTTGCTACAGCATGATCAAGACTAAGAGGATTATTAAAAAAAGAGAGAGAGAGAGAGAAAGAAACCTTCATAAAAAGGCCAACTTGACTCAAGGCTTCCAGGCCAATAAAGGAGCTTAATTTTATGCCTCAGCCTAAGCCAGAGAGTGAGCCTTTCACCTGGATTTCTGCAGGGCTCAAAGGCCCAGGGATGGTACTAGCCTCAGCTCCAGAGATAGCTCCATTTTGAGCATGTAATTCCTGATTAGTGCGGTTGGCTTGTGGAAGATGCTCTTCTAAACACTAATGCCTACCACTTGGTATGTCTGTCCTAAGGGACATACCAAGAAACTTAGAGATTCAGTTAATTCAATGTTTTCATGTGCAGATGAAGAAACTAAGGCTTGAAAAGAGAAAGTGACTTGTCCCAGTATACTCTCCTAGGAAGCAACAATTTATGTTCTTTACCAATGTTTACAGAAGAAAAAGAAAGTTATTTTTATGTCAATTAACAATTCTCAACTCTATGGGACCAGCAGGTGGTGTGGTGGTGATAGCACTGGACACTCCCATGGCAGACCATGTTCGAGTCCTAGGCCTGATGACTTGCTTTCTCACTTTCTCTCTGTGTCTCTGTCTCTCTCTCTCTCTCTGGTTCTCTCTGGTCAAATTAAATAGAATAATTTAAAAATAAATAATTCTCAACTCTAAACAGAAGTATTTAAAATTCAAACCTCCCCTTTTTCCTTAATTTATTTTTATTACAACAAAACTATTCATCAAAAAAATTAGAAAATAAAAATAAGTGAAAGAATACTTTAAAAAGCCACCTAAACCTTTCATCTATTTTTCTGAATGTATGTTTGTTCTACACTATACATGCCATTGTGTTTTCTGCTTTGTTTCCACTTAAAAATATATCCACAGTGTCTTTCCATGTCATTAAGTATTCTGTGATAAACTCACAGTATGAAAGCACTATAACCTTTTAACATTCTCTATTACTATTTTCAAATGTAGGATTTTTACAGTTTTTCATTGCTGTAAACAGTACTCTGACGAACATCTTTGTGATTATAGAATATGTTTAGTTATTTCTTTAGATAAATCTCTTGACATAGATTTTTAAGAGCAATGAATATTTTTTGTAAAAGGAGTATTTTTCAAAGTTAGAAATGTTCAAGGAGAATCTCAATGACTATGTTTGTAAATCCTTATCACCTTAGAAAACTTGCAGAAAGATTAAGAGAGAAGCATGAATCATTCTTCCCCAACAGAGGAATAAGGACTTTTGGGGTTTTGAACTAAAAAATAAGCTATTGTATGCTACTTAAAATCGGTTACCATGACTATTGCTTAGGAGCTAAAAGAACTTCACACACTCAAGAGAGAAAACTCATCCAATTGTATCCTCATTACTAATCAAATAAGAAGCACCCAGGCCCATCTGGGAGAGACGTACCTTCAATACAATGATAGATAGCTTTTTCTCTTATTCTGAGGGTATGTTTATTGCTTACTCAATCCTACCAATAATGCTTCCAATTCACAGTAAGTCCAAGAACTCAAAGTGAGAGTTGAACTAAACAGTCTACCTTGAGGCTACACAAATCCTATAGATCAGTTGTTTTTGTTGAACCTCTTTTAATCAATATCTCCACTTCTATAGTTAGTTCTAACTTTAAGCAAATTCAAGCTATGAGTATACAGACTTTAAAGCAGATATTTAGAGTGGCCAAAGCAATCATAACAGAATTTCCTTACATATTATTATTCTACTGTTTTTTGGGGAGGGATTTTTACTCTACGGTGTGTGTGCTCACCAAGAGAGACAGAGAGAGACAGAAAGCAAGAAATCATCCCCCCCAAGGGAGATGGCCATGCCACAATCCCTTCTCCCTCTCTCTCACACACACTCTCTCTCACACACACTCTCTCTCACACACTCTCTCTCACACACCCTCTCTCTCACACACACTCTCTCTCACACACACTCTCTCTCACACACTCTCTGTCCCATTCAACAGATCACACACACACACACACACACTAACACTTCATCCAGTGAAGAAATCAAATGTATCTTTTTTCATTCTCAGTGCTTTTTCCTTTCTTTTTTTCCAAAAATGTTTATTTATTTATTTATTCCATGTGCAAGAGAGACAAAGAGAGACAGAGAGACAAAACCCCCAACAGGGTCTTGACATCATGCTCCAACCCCAGCTTCAGCTAACCCCAGATTACGAACATGCACATACCCAGTGTACTCAGGGAGGTTTCCAGGCATGAGCCAAGAACCGTCCCATGTGGATTAGCCTTACATAGCATTGCATTTACTACTGCACCACAGTTCAGACTCCATTATTCTCAGAGTTTTGAGGTCTTCTTAGAATTCGTAGGACTCGTGGGACCAGCAGTTAGTGTAATGGCTTTGCCGCTAAACTCCCATGTAGCCGTCTGTGGTTTGAGTCCCAGACCCGGTGGCTTTAACTCATGCCAGGCACATGTGCGTGCTTGCCTAAGATCCTGAGAGGAGAATGGAGGAGAAGGGGTTGCAGCATGGCCACCCCCCCAGGGGTGGTTTCTCGCTTTCTCTCTCTCTGTATTTCTGGCGAGCACACGCGCCCTATAGTAAAAAAACTCTCTAAAAAAAAAAATAGAATTTATAGGACTCCAGAAATAATGGGCTTAGCTATCTATAGCCATGAACTAGAAGCAAATGCCACAAGCACCAACATGTATAATATTCATGGGTCTTTTAAATGCAAATCATGCAACAGTTCTTAACATTATTAGTAATAATATATTACTCTTGAATAATACAATACATATACATCATCTGATGTTATCAGTATTTGGGAAGGAAGAGTTGCT